CTGCAGGAAACACAAACGCTTGCCTATGAATCGGAAATCCCTTCCACCAATACCTTGGTGGTCTAGTGGATACAGCCCTAGCCCGGAGAGCGGATTGTCAGTGGTTCGATTCCAGGCGTTGTTGATAGTTGTGTCCCTGACCTGTTGACTTGGAGTCAGTACCCGGTGTTTGAGGGGGGTATACGTATGTTAAACTGAGACAGGGTATCTGAGTGGGTGGACACAATCTGTACATAGAAGACTAGTACAGGTAGCCATACACACACCTTCCTGTAGATCGCTATATGCAATAACCTAAAACATAACGTTAAACCCATTCTCACCCCATCTCGATCCGAAACCCCATTTCACCACAGATTCCATTTTAAACACCACGTCTCCCCACTCCACTTTCATTAATTCCAGGGTGGTGCACATAAATCATAAGTCCATAAGTCCAAAGGTGAGATGAAAAAGCCTCCCCCTCTGGATCCGCCCCTGAATTCGACGTTAAACCCCACCCCACCTCCATAGACTCGATGTTAAACCCGATGCCACCCTACCCCCACCCCCACCCCCACATTCCCCATCTAGAAATACGCACGCACGCGCCTTCATACACATACCCCCGGCCCCGCTAAAAGAAAACAGTCACGACAACGTAATTTTCTCATTTTCAATATATGCTCTGTGCAGTAAGCATATATAGAATACTATACAGTTATAATGTTAACTGTGGAAATGGCGTTATTTTGGTCCTTATATTCGTAATACTCTCAAATTATCATACCTTATTATTTTAGAAAGAGCATCTGCATCAGTATCCTTGTTCTCGTGATTCACGACGCTGTTGGCGACTACCTCGTCACCTCACGTCAACGACTATAGCGGGATACATGGCATCTGTCTGTCTTACGACAACTAATGCAATTTTCCCAGTCATCAAATGACGCATATTCCTGCTAAATCGTATTACAGCCAATTAGGGATTACCAAAAAAGGTAGTGGGGTGATTTTTTGGTTCTTTATTATGAAATATCTCTTGAAATAGACATTACTGTCAACCTGCCGCCGACAGGCTCAGTCAGCAACGCGTCAAACGCTTGATAATATGTAACCTTCTTCCCCGGGCGAGTTTACCCTCCCACCCCTAGAGTCCATGATAATCCACATGTCTTATAGATCTTGCTAACTGTCATACGCTACATGCGTATTGCTAACGCTGTAAGTTATCCACCCTGGTACTTGGAGTCAATGACTGTGTTGTGTTTTTACAGCAGATAGTTTTAGGTGCGTTGTTATGAACATCGTTGATGATAGATGACGTGAGAGAGAAGCAATATGTCATTTTCGACGTCATGACAGATCGGCTGATAAAAAATGTCTTCTGTCTTCCATTGTCATTTAACGCCACACTCAACAATATTCCATATGGCGGCAGTTAGTAAATAATCGAACCTGGACCAGGCAATCCAGTGATTGGAATTATGAGCCTTGATCTACGCAACTGAGATACGATGAGATGCACCAACCAAGTCAGTCAGTGAGTAGGCCACCCGATCCCGTTAGACGCCTCTAACAACCAGCATGGGTTACTGAAGACTAGTTCTAACCCGATCCTCGCCTTTCTCGTTTCCTGGATTTATGAATTTGTTTCATAATCCACCAATGAGAAAGACGTTCCATATTTTGCCACCACACCGAGAAGCAAATTTAAAATACGCATTTTCAACACTCATTGACAAATGATTGCCTGCTACTTCATAAACTATTAATATGTTTCTGGTAAGTAATTTTTTTCATATCTCTTGGCTGTAGATGATTTGAGGAAATTCAACGAACAAAACACTTAGCTCGCTTCTGATATGAGTTGACTATAAATGTTAATTACTGTAAAGGCAATCAAAGATTAAATTAAAGCACATCCATTATACTATCTGTTTGACTGAACAATCCCTGTTTGGTGGTAGGTTGGAACATAAATACTTTTGTTCATTATCGGGCTCACAAAATCGTAGGGTACCGTTAAATAATTCATTAAACGTGGCGCGCTCACAACAATCGCTGCACACGAGGTATTTAAAAGACTATTACTGGTCTAATAGTCCTATAAAACTCTTGTCTTCAGTTATCTTCCCCTAAGATGTATTGATTATAATGATGTACAGACATTCCTTGATATTTATCGTGCGTTTCAATCCTAGTAATATCTCGATTTTTTTTTAATGTTTTTATCTAAAATGTATTTCTTTGCATTATGTATAATTGATGTCTCAAGCGTCTGAAATGTTCTAATTTATCAAGATTATAATTCCCTTATTGTAGGATTTCAAGTATATGCTATATGAAATAGGACAGAGTGGTAGAATATATGGAGGGTGTCGATATAGGGTAGAGGCCTGTCTATATCAAACGGCGACGAATTAAGGGGTACTCGCTGACGTGCTGCAAACATTTATAATGCATTCATACATATCTACCGACTAAATAAAAAAAAAGCAACCTGATTCGGGGCCCATTTTCCCGTGAAATCGACCGAATTAATCTATTTCCGGGTACCGAATAAAACCTGTATGTATTTCGACATGATACATTCCACACAACAACATCTGTCCGAAACTAAAGGGTTTCAAAGCATGTAAAATTTATAAAATTGAAAGCTCCCAAAATATTGCATGAAATATTTTTATTCAGTCATTAAAGTAATGGATTCAACTATTTTGTCTTGTTTTCAATGGTGGCGACACTCGGGGTGTCACATGTGTTGCGAGGCCCAGATGATACCTGTCTGACCGCCTTGTTGGCCCAAGGTACTAACGACACCATGGCCACCCAACGCTTGATATCACAGACTCTTTGATGATTCAGTAAAAGCTCCACGCGCCTTCTCTGACGGGTATCTTCTTTCAATCAGTCAATCATATTTTTTCCATCATACAAGTATTTCGCCTTTATCCCACTTTGACAAAAGCTTCCAGCTCTAGTGTCATCAAAGCGCCAACACGGTTCATGGTGCGGTTGGCTTGCCCTGAAAAGACGATAGTGTTGTTGGGAGGGCACCGAGTGGGGAGATCCTAATTCAAAGCAAATCTTGTTGGCCCTGGGGTGAGGATGGGGCTTGATTGACAGCTCTGGGGTGGGGATACGGGCCAGCTGGGCCTCTCAAGGGCGTTGGAGTGGAGTTGAAGAGGTTGGCTATGTGATACGAGGGGGTCTGAAGCGGTGGTGTTAAGCAGGGAGTAGAGACTGGGCAGGCACCACATGAAAACAACGTGCGGGAAATTTTAATAAGACCTTGCATAATTAGTTCATGAAATACTCGTGCATGACATGCTGTGACTGCAACACACACGGACACGCGCGCACACACACGCACACACACGCACACACAAACAACGACCCTCATCTCAACTGATTCGTTCCTTACAAGGCAAACACTGTTCTGTCGAAGTTGAAGGGGCCTTCGTTAACACTTCGAGTCAACCGATGTTCGACACAACCGACTAAATGGTAACTAAATAAGGAATAAGCAGGAACCAAGTTTTTACCTCAAGACATCCGTTTGTTCGACACAGTGGTTTTGGCCGTTCCACATGTATACATATTACACGCATAGAATTCACAAAATTAATGTTTACCCTTTGGTCTTTGTGGAGCAGGAAGTAGGTGAAGAGAGTAGTTGTTTCGGGTGGGTGCGAGTTACACTGATGACGCAGATTGTTCTCCCGGGTACCAGCCATTAACTGGGCGCCTGGCCGAGATTCGGTACTGAAAAGATGATGAAGCTGGAATTTTGAGTAATCGTGCTTATAACAGTTCACTCAAACACATTTTTCTCTCCCTCTCATATGTTTTTGGCGTCATTAGCAATATGTTAGACTAACGCTTAGTGTCTGAATATATATAATAACTGTTACAAATAAACCATTTACATTGAAAAGGAGCCCCAGGGAGACCAGAGATTCAGACCTGAACCTGAGGAAATCTAGACTTGCTTCATTTAGGGCTTTAGCATTGCAGAGGGCTAAGCATTGGGGAAAATAATGTGGTTCAGGGACTATAAGAGACAGACTAGCAATATGTCAACAACGTTTTCTATTATTTTAACAATGCCATTTTGAATATTTTGTCAATAACGCAGTAGTCCAAGACATCACACTCACACTGGTGATTTGTATTGATAAATATTGATTAGCTTTTTTAAACCATGGATTAATACACAGGGGATATGATATGATGAGGTGTAGTGTGACATGATCCTCGTAGTTGCCCGAGGCTCCTCAACTCTACACTCTACCTGTTGTCAACTCCCGGAAGACATACACACGTTTGGTAATGTGGTAACATTGATGACTCTTCCATGTATATCAACTTTTCTCAAAAACAATAAGGTGCCCCTGTCACAGTACAATCACAGGGTGTCTCACCCGAGTGTCTTTAGATATTCAATATATAAACACAGGTTGACCATACAAATATCACTGTGATGTAGGTTGAATGTATCTCTATTTCCTTGGAAGTATTACGTGATCCTACTACACAAGCGTTGTCTCCTGTGTGAGCCAGTTTTGAGTCATATAATGAGTTACCTGCCCTTGTCGTTTTCAAAATAAGCGCGGAAGAACGAGACCAGCTGGATGGAATGATGAAACACTACAGACTCTTGTCTTGCCCATTGTTATCTCGGGTGATAGATATATACTCATGCCAATAATGGTTGTCACCCCCTCCCCACCCCAAACCCACACACACCCACACACCCACCCCACCCCCCCTCTCCAATACAAAATTTGAAGGGGTGACAACCATTATTGGCCTGAGTATATTATGTCTTCGTTCTCACCACAATAATATCATTTACATTTGGGGCAGAGTCTTGAAAATGTGTAAGGTGTTTCAAAGACGTATGTAAGTATACGTCTTTGGGTGTTTATGTAAAACGGTGTAACATGTCAGTCCCCTGCAGCGGAAGAGTTCCAAGACAGCTATGCCTCACGACCAAAATGCTTCTTACGTTTCAGATGAAATACGCACGAAGACAATTGGATACTAAAAGCCGGAACACTTTGGAATGATGATATCCCGACTCCACCATATATCACTATGTAGCCACTCAACTTTTCTTCTGGGTAGGAACCTGCCAAATCTCGCCGTGGATCAGCGCCAGCGTCTCGTGTTTCAAACCAGATATGAAGAAAAAACAGCCGAAAACGCAAGTGACGAGAAGTTGTCAAAAGCGCGGAGTGATTCTAGCGGGCCAGGAGTGCTTTACGAGGCCGCGTTGTCAGGAACGCACAGGATAAGTGCTCCACGCGGTCGTAAGTCAAATAATTGGGAACAAATGTTTGTGGACCTGTGCTGATGATTGACTTTGGACATTTTTACAGTCTAGGATGCTGACGTTAGGCCACTTCTTCACGTGCACGTTTTTTTCCCTTATTTTTGTTCTGAGCATTCCATCTCTCACGCGTCAATGTGCGTCTTTGAAAGTATTCGAACATTACACCATATGCTTCCTATAACTGTGATGAGGTACACATGGTCATATCGCCCTGGCATATCATTAGTAACTGTACAATAAGGAAATACAAAACTCAGTTCATTAAATCCGTCACACTGGATCCACCATTCCCGAGAAGTTATGTATTGTGAACTGGATCTTCCCTGCAGAGTATGAATGTACACGTGTCACATATGTTTGGCTAGATGTTAGTTTAAGAGATAAAGAGATAAGAGATAAAATATTTATTGTGCAGACGTTCCATACAGAAACAGTGACAATATTCTATAAACTACATAAACAAGATATATAACGAATCACATATATATGATGAGCAACAAAACATATAATAATACAAATGTGTATAATAACAATAATGGCCTAGGACAATCAGATCTTCTATATTTGTTTAAAGTTGTACATGTGGTAGCAAATAATTTATATACTATTTGGATCATTATTTCTAAAAAGGAGGTTAAATTTTTCAGTGGTAGTAAGTCTGAGAAAGTTATTAATTTTAGAGGAAAAGGAGTTAAATAAGCACTTTCTTGCATCTGAATATTTAGTACAACACATGAAATGGTGTTCTTCATCCTCAAGGACAGAGCATTTATCACAGAGACGGTTCTCCAAAGGTGTAGGTGGTCTTGTTCTCCTACCCAGTTCAATTTTTAGTCTATGATCAATTTTTAAGTCAATGAACGTGTACCGAGGACAAACGTGTTTGAGATTATCGTTCTAAGGGTATATTAGGGCTTGTGCGTGATGGTGAGATCACAACACGTTGTTGGAAGTGAGGGGTTCAGACGTTGAAATTGTGTGTTTTTTTAACGCAGGACCTCTTTAAACATTTTTATGAAAAGGAATTTGTGACTAGCTCAATGATGCGATACAGGTCCAGCAGCTACACCGCCCATTACTGTTCTCCTATAGGGCACAGATGGATTTTGTATAATTTATTTATATTGCTTTATGACAAAATTTACATACCCTCTCATCTTGATGAATCACCTAGACGAAGCATAAATCACAAGTGTCGGAATATGAACACAGCTGTTCAGACAGGACTATACGCTATTCGAAAACAAGCCGTCACACTCATGACTGACGTCTGGTGTGTACGTCATGGAGGTAAAGGAACCTTGTCGGTGCAGAAGATGGAGCTGTTCACACACTGCACACACGTGAATGCATGACTGCAGCATCAACCACTGTATCTCTCCATACAGATGCTGCCATGTGTGCACTGTATACAGATGCTGCCATGTGTGCACACACGACGTAAACACCTCCACGTTTGTAATTTCATGTTCCCTCAGGCGAGAAATCTATAGCGAAACTTTCTTTTTGAACGTTTCGTGTTCAAAAATATTGACAGAAGTTGAGGACAAATAGATGCCTAGTATTTGTATTGACGTTACTTAGATTTACATAGAATCGTGTAACCCTGTCTAACTTTAAAGTAACAAGTTGGTGTGGCTTCCCTGGGATCAGAAAAAGCGGCGTTTCTTATGTCCGCTGCAGGGCGAGAAACCTCCTTGGGTTCTCTGCTGTTGGGCACAGGAAACGTTCTGTAAAGATACATGAACGCACCTGGTGAAATTCAATCGCTTTTCGAATTCGCTGGCTCAAAAAAGAATGCCATGGTTTGATTTCTCCCTATAACAGAATCCATCCATCATGGCGTAAGCAAAGAAATGTCATGCCATCAGAGAGGCAATGGAGGTCCATCCGAAAGGGCTAGATCGTTGCTCCTTCATTTCGGCAACACACATGCGAAGTTTTTCAAAGTGTGAGTTTCTGTCAGTTCGCTCTAACTCAGCTAGACATACTTCTACAAGTTACGTAAGCTATGCCATTTGTAATTACGTTTTCGCTGACGAGGTTAGATTTTCTGCGAGCATGCGCAGTGAAAGCATATCACAATGGCGGCCGTTATGCGCACTATGTGCCGAGATGATGGACCTGTGACAGGGGTATGCAGCTTATTATCTGCTCAAACGTATATGATGAAAAGCGTAAATTTGCAAGAAGTAACTGGGGCATTCATTATTTATCGCTTGTCAGGATTTATGACTGCAACGCGTAAGCCAAACTCGGGACATATCGGGAAAATTTATTACGAAGTTTCATTGGGCTTGACGCTTGAAACAGTAGATTACATGTGTATACATATCGCTGTAATAGGAAATGTTTTCAGCACAAGGTCGGATTTGGACGCCATATGTTCCTATTTCAGAGCAAAGTTATATATACGGTCCGTGATACCAACAACATTCCAGAAGCTGTCAAAACAGGCCACGATTTGGGCAAATAATGATTCTCCTCAGCTCTTCATCACAACAAGATACAAGATACAAGATATTTTATTGCGCAAACGTTCCATGTAGAAATGGTGACAATATTCTATAAACTACATAAACGAGATATATAATACTAGTAAGTCAGAGAAAATTAAAAAGCTATTATTACGTAAATTAAGAAGCTATCAATAATGCATAGTGAAAAGATAATTTAAATGCTGTGTTAGAAAGTGGTTTACAATTTCGATGAGAAAGAAAAAGACGTTGCCGACAGATAGTTGATGTGACGGTTATCAAATGCAGGTGTTGTTAGTCAATAATTTCAAAATATATTCACAACTACATGCTCTTAGTCAATATGATCATTACCAAATACAGGATTTGTTAGTCAACGATCATCACCAAATACAGGTGTTGCTAGCCAATATGATGATCATCAGATGCAGGTGCTGTTAGCCAATATGATCATCACCTGTTGCAGGTGCTGTTCGCCAATATGATCATCACCTATTGCAGGTGTTGTTAGCCAATATGATCATCACCAGTTGCAGGTGTTGTTAGCCAATATGATCATCACCTGTTGCAGGTGCTGTTCGCCAATATGATCATCACCTATTGCAGGTGTTGTTAGCCAATATGATCATCACCACTTGCAGGTGTTGTTAGCCAATATGATCATCACCTGTTGCAGGTGTTGTTCGCCAATATGATCATCACCTGTTGCAGGTGTTGTTCGCCAATATGATCATCACCTATTGCAGGTGTTGTTCGCCAATATGATCATCACCAGTTGCGGGTGTTGTTAGCCAATATGATCAGGTGTTGTTCACATCACCTGTTGCAGGTGGTTGTATGATCATCACCTGTTGCAGGTGCTGTTCGCCAACCAGTTGATCAATATGATCATCCAGTTGCAGGTGTTGTTAGCCAATATGATCATCATCAGTTGCAGGTGTTGTTAGCCAATATGATCATCACCTGTTGCAGGTGTTGTTAGCCAATATGATCATCACCTGTTGCAGGTGCTGTTCGCCAATATGATCATCACCACTTGCAGGTGTTGTTAGCCAATATGATCATCACCAGTTGCAGGTGTTGTTAGCCAATATGACCATCATCAGTTGCAGGTGTTGTTAGCCAATATGACCATCACCTGTTGCAGGTGTTGTTAGCCAATATGATCATCACCTATTGCAGGTGCTGTTCGCCAATATGATCATCACCAGTTGCAGGTGCTGTTCGCCAATATGATCATCACCTATTGCAGGTGTTGTTAGCCAATATGATCATCACCAGTTGCAGGTGTTGTTAGCCAATATGATCATCACCTGTTGCAGGTGTTGTTCGCCAATATGATCATCACCTGTTGCAGGTGTTGTTCGCCAATTTGATCATCACCTATTGCAGGTGTTGTTAGCCAATATGATCATCACCAGTTGCAGGTGTTGTTAGCCAATATGACCATCATCAGTTGCAGGTGTTGTTAGCCAATATGACCATCATCAGTTGCAGGTGTTGTTAGCCAATATGATCATCACCTATTGCAGGTGCTGTTCGCCAATATGATCATCACCAGTTGCAGGTGTTGTTAGCCAATATGATCATCACCTGTTGCAGGTGTTGTTAGCCAATATGATCATCACCACTTGCAGGTGTTGTTAGCCAATATGATCATCACCTGTTGCAGGTGTTGTTAGCCAATATGATCATCACCACTTGCAGGTGTTGTTAGCCAATATGATCATCACCTGTTGCAGGTGTTGTTAGCCAATATGATCATCACCACTTGCAGGTGCTGTTTATCGATATATCCAGGCAGTATTAGTCAGACACAGTCAGTCATAAGATACAGGTTCTATCGGTCAGCATGATTGTCACAAAATGCTGGTGCAATTAGTATGTGTGAGTATAATGATGTTGCTGTTATAAGCGTTTTGACAACTTTAACACTAACACCCAACTTGGATTCTCCAGAAAAAGAAGTACATGTAATATGTCCCGATCAATCTCGTCTTAACGTCAGCCGACTCCCTTGCATGGAAAAGACTATTTGTCCATATCTAGACATGCGTGTTGCGAGACTATCTGTGGCCGTGTTGTCAAGTACACTGTGTAATGACCATAATCATTCCAATGTATCTGACGGATGTACATTTACGCTGCGTAGAATCAAGACCATGTCACTTTCAGTAGTCACATTTTAGTGTTAACCACGTCGGTTAATACCAAAAGTGTTTCTAATCACCGTTACAGGAGACGGACTGGGAATGATTGTCATCCCCAGGTGACCTTCCAGGTGTAGGGAAGGCGTGCGTCCGGTTCGGCCATCCGATCCACAACGTGTATATCCTGGCTCCCGGGGAGACAGGCAAACCAACACAGCCAGTTCTGACAGGTTTTGTGGTAGAAAGGAGACGCAGTAATTAGCTCGTAGTCGGAAGCCTCCGTCCAAGCGTTCGAGTTACTAAACCAGTCCAGTTAGGCTGCCAACAGAGAGCTGAGCAAAGAATTTTGTTCTGGTACATCACTTTATAAGAATTTAAGCAGTTTAACTTACTAATGATAATGTAAATAAAATTGACATTTTAAAAAGATATTTCAAAGAGGTTCCGATAATTTGTGATTGTATTAAACAAGAGAGCAACGTAAGACAGGTCCGATTTCCCCAATCGGTAGAAACCTGAAAGCCCATTCATTGAGTACAGGACTATGGTAAACTTAAAAGGGCATAACTTCCTACTCACTCACTCACCCAAGGTATAAACGTTACTTGACGCATAACCACATGGATATGTGTGACGCTTGCTGCTAGAGCTCCACAATATTC